TATTCTGTGATAAAACTAAAAGGAAATCCAGAATATTAAGGTATTCTTTGATAGGACTAAAAAGAATGGAAATTCAGAATATTAAGATATTCTGTGATAAAACTAAAAAAACAAAGGAAATTCAGAATTTTAAGGTATTCTTCGATAAGACTAAAATGAATGAAAATTCAGAATATTAATCAAGTTCTTGCTGTCAACCTGTGCACAATTCCATGAGGGGTTTGTGCAGGTTTGGTTTATTTGTATTTTTTAAAGTACCTTGTGGGTAAATCTGGGAGAAATAAAAGAATAATGTTGTTTTTTCATCTTGGAATGCTCTTCCTGACAGCACAAAACCTGAATTTCATTGTTCTTGTCGAATAATAGAAAGCTTTGGCTTTGTGTGGTTTGTGTGTAGAAGGGTTTGGGATTAAATGTTTTTTAATGTTTTTAAAAATTGAGGTTCTTTCCCAAAAAATTTATTTGGAGAAACTGAGGCCTTGGATTGCAGGAGCTCCTTTGGATCTGCAGGTTCTGATTATCCTGGACATGGAGCAAAAGGAGTGAATTTTGGGGAGAAATCAAGAAAAATGAGTGAATTTTGGGGAGAAATCAAGAAAAATGAGTGAATTTTGGAATTTTGTTGTGAAACAGAGCAAGAGGAGTGAATTTTGTGGTGAAATAGAGCGAAATTAGTGATTTTTATTGTAAAACAGAGCAAAAGGAGTGAATTTCATGGTGAAATCGAGCAAAATGAGTGAATTTTGTGGTAAAACATCTAAAGGAGTGATTTTTGTTGTGAGATCAAGCAAAAGGAGTGAATTTTGTTGTAAAACTGAGCAGGAGTGAATTTTGTTGTGAAATCAAGCAAAAGGAGTGAATTTTCTTGTGAAATAGAACAAAATGAGTGAATTTTGTGGTAAAACAGAGGAAAAGGGATGGATTTTTTTTTGAAACAGGAAAATGAGTGAATTTTGTGGTGAAATCAAGCAGAGTGAGTGAATTTTATTGTAAAACAGGAAAAGGAGTGAATTTTGTGGTGAAATCGAGCAAAATGAGTGATTTTCATTGTAAAACAGAGCAAAAGGGGTGAATTTTGTGGTGAAATCAAGCAAAGTGAGTGAATTTTATTGTAAAACAGGAAAAGGAGTGAATTTTGTGGTGAAATCAAGGAAAATGAGTGATTTTTGTGGTGAAATAGAGCAAAATTAGTGGTTTTTATTGTAAAACGGAGCAAAAGGGGTGAATTTCATGGTGAAATTGAGCAAAAGGAGTGAATTTTGTGGTGAAATTGAGGAAAATGAATGAATTTTATTGTAAAACAGGAAAAAGAGTGAATTTTGTGGTGAAATAGAGCCAAATCAGTGATTTTTATTGTAAAACAGAGCAAAAGGGGTGAATTTTGTGGTGAAATAGAGCAAAATTAGTGATTTTTATTGTAAAACGGAGCAAAAGGAGTGAATTTTGTGGTGAAATCGTGCAAAATGAGTGTTTTTTATTGTAAAACGGAGCAAAAGGAGTGATTTTTTTTGTGAAATAGAGTGAAATGAGTGATTTTCATTGCAAAACAGAGCAAAAGGACTGAATTTTGTGGTGAAATCGAGCAAAAGGGGTGAATTTTGTGGTGAAATAGAGTGAAATTAGTGAATTTTGTGGTGAAATCGTGCAAAATGAGTGTTTTTTATTGTAAAACGGAGCAAAAGGAGTGAATTTTGTGGTGAAATAGAGTGAAATTAGTGAATTTTATTGTAAAACAGAGCAAAAGGACTGAATTTTGTGGTGAAATCGAGCTAAATTAGTGATTTTCATTGCAAAACAGAGCAAAAGGGGTGAATTTTGTGGTGAAATAGAGTGAAATTAGTGATTTTCATTGCAAAACAGAGCAAAAGGAGTAAATTTTGTTGTGAAATTGAGCACAATGGGTGAATTTTATTGTAAAACAGAGGAAAAGAAGTGAATTTTGTGGTGAAATTGAGCAAAAGGGGTGAATTTTGTGGTGAAATAGAGTGAAATTAGTGATTTTCATTGCAAAACAGAGCAAAAGGGGTGAATTTTGTGGTGAAATAGAGTGAAATTAGTGATTTTTATTGCAAAATAGAGCAAAAGGAGTAAATTTTGTTGTGAAATTGAGCACAATGGGTGAATTTTATTGTAAAACAGAGGAAAAGGGGTGAATTTTCTGGTGAAATCGAGCTAAATTAGTGATTTTCATTGCAAAACAGAGCAAAAGGGGTGAATTTTCTGGTGAAATCGAGCAAAAGGACTGAATTTTGTGGTGAAATCAAGCAAAAGGACTGAATTTTTTGGTGAAATAGAACAAAAGGAGTGAATTTTGTTGTGAACTGGAGCGAAATTAGTGAATTTTGTTGCAGAATTCCCAGAGGCTCCGGAGTGTCCCAGGAGGGGCTGGAGCCCCCGGGCCGGTGGGAGGTGCCAGGGCTGGACCGGGATGGGATTTAAGGGCCCTTCCACCCAAACCATGCTGCAGCTCAGGAATTTCATTTATTTATTTATTCCCAACCTATTTTAACCATTTTTTCCCTGCTTTCCTTCAGTTCCCCTCTGACTGTGCTGTTGCCAAACCCTGCTGAGGTTTTGGGAGACTCAGTTTTTCCCTCTCCGGATGGAATCCTTCCAGCTCTCCCTGCAGTGTCCTTCTCCAAGTGCTGCCTCTCCTTCCTGCAATTCTGCTCCTTCATTCCTGGGATAATTTAAATTCCCTTCCCCTCTCCCTTTTTTTTTTTTTTTTTTCCCACCTTTTCCTTTTCCAGGGCACATCACACCATTAATGATTTAAAATCCCATTTTTTCCCCGATAACAGCCAACATCCTGCTCATTTTTTCCAGCCTTTTCGTTGCTTTCAGCCAACTGTCAGAAACATAATTTTTATTTAAAACCCATTTGCTGAAAGTAATAATTCCGTGTAGCCAGAACGATCCTGGTGCAATTATCCCGATTTTTGTGGGAGCTTTTTGCCGTGGAAAAGGGGGGAACTGAGGAGGGCTCAGCGTGGTTTCTGCGGTGCAAAAACTCGATTTAAAAGCAGAAATTGCCTGGCACAAAAGGCTGCAGTTCACACCAAAGCCATTCATGCGTGGGTGTGTTTAACACTCCCTT